TATCTAAAACCTGGGACGGCGGCCACGTTTTGAAGCAATGGTTCCTAACGTGGTGTGACGTAAATAATGGCGAGTAGGCTGGCCTAATAACCAGTTACCTGGTCCTTTGCCACTACTTTCTAATCTAGTAGGTATAAAGGGCCTGTAATTGTTTACAATCACTGCTATTAAGGCGATGTCATCATTATTTACTGCGGAACTGATGGGACGCATCGTATATTTTACACGCTATATTACTTAAGGTATTGTTAATAGCTTTCCAAATGTCCCGTAATGATTTACTTGTTTAATAAATATAACACTGGCAGTTGATAAAATCTTCTTCGTGTGTAATATACGGCGTACTCTATACATTTGGCAAGCGTGCGGTTGAGTATTACACATATAAACACTCATTTGCTTGCGGTTTGCTGTCTATATATATATGTATGTTTAATATATGTTATAGATATATAAATACTAAGATGTATACAGGCATGTGTAGGGGGTCAAATGTCAAATAATACACTACTTTTTCAGGGTTTGACAATGGATAGCATGTCTAGTGTAAATTAAGTTAGGAAATATTCACTCGTTTCGTGTGCAGAGTTTTTACTATTGCTCTAGCGTAAAGACCTATTTTTACCACTCGAATGTAACAAATAGAGCAATGAGTCATTTTTTAAATATTTGTAATGTTCATTAAGTTAAACAGGTGGGTTTATGTGTGTAATCAGAATCTATTTTGATGACGAAAAGAAAAATACAAAAATATCTTATGATTCGATGTTTTGTAATTTATTTTTATTAATTTTTTTTTCAAGTTTGATTAAAACAAATATTTTCATTTTCTCAACGTGTCAAAATGTACAACTTTATCTTTAATGGGAAGGTATTATTTTTATTGAATGAAGGTAATTTCACATTTTTACACAAAATATGAAATAAAATCAATCCTGCCCTTTGGTTGATGTATATGCTTATAAATGAATACTTTAAGGGACTCGTATGATGCTACACGTCACATAAATTACTCATTACCTCGGAGTGTCAGTGTCCTAAGACTGTGTAATACCTCGGACTCAAAAGTAACAGAAACCCAAAATTATATCATAACATGATGAAATTCTCATCAATTTCTCATCAAATCTTGTATCCTTTGACATATACTGTTCCCAATGCCCTTCCTTCGGTTCTTACAACAAACTTGCCACCCCTGGGGATGTCGAAGGGGCTTTGGCACCCCGGGGTTCTCGTCAGGGGATGGCAGTGTTTACAGTTTACCCTAACTCTCCGGCCAGAAATAGACAACTTTCTCTTCAGCCGCGTGCGCGCGTGTGTGTCATCTTTGTTATGGACGCCATTTTGTAATACAGGATCGAAAGATACACCTCGGGCTAGTTAAACGTCAAAATTTGATTTATCGTCGAGATGTTTCGTATATTTATTTCGTATGAAATACAGTCCGATCTCGTGTGGATATTTCGAATACATTACCATAGTATTATCCGCATCAGTTTCTTAGTCTATAGTACAGTGTAGCATTTATACGATAAAACTGCATTTCTAATTTGACGTTGAATTTATACATGTATATGTTAATTTGAAACATTGCTTCAGTGTTAATTATTTAAAATTATATCATTTATGACAATTAATATTATCACATTTGAATTATAATTATAAAAGAAATTAAATTATTCTTGATATAGAGATTTTCTTGTTTCTTTTTTCAAAACAAAATTGAAATATTTTACCCTTATATTTCTATCTGCGTTTCAATAGGAATAATAATTATCTAAAATACAAACCCTGAACAGAAATATACATGCTTAACTCTTGTGTTTGCAATCATTTTTCTCTCTTTATATGTTTATACAAGTATTTCTATATATCATTTCTATTATATAATCGCTAATAGTACCAAATAAAAAACAGTACAACATAACTATTTGATGTACTTGCCGTAATTCAATTTTCTATATATTTTTACATTTGACTTTGTATACAATGTCTAAATTTTGTCAATAAAAATAGTGTAATTTCTCCCTATTCAATATCTTCAACTGTAATATATTCATAAATATTCCTCTGTCATAGTTCTCTTCATAAAAGCATCTTTCATTTGTACAATTTAAAACACTACACGGTATGACTGTTTTGAATTAGTCTTGTCTAGCCCGTTGGCATTTCAGTTGTAAAGCGCCCGGGCGAGATTTTACGACTCCCGTAAAAATGCGCGGTTTGTGTTTAAATTACTGTACAATAAATCAGATTCAAAGCGACAGAAGAAATAAATAATAGTCTGTTTTACACGGACTTGTTGTCTCATAATATACCGTGTAATTTATACAACAATATTATTTATCGTAATTTGTTTTATTTGAGCCATCGTCTTCTGCGAATATCAGTAAAAACACACAAACAAGTCAACATTTCATTTAATTTATCACTGTATAATATATCATTTAATTATAACTATGATGATTCCAAGATGAATTATGTTTGTACATAGTTTTTTTTTATAAATTGTTTTCTTTAACCTATCTTGAAATCTTCATAGAAAATATTTTGCTCCAGTGTTTATCTAGATTGACAGAAATCTATCAGCATGTTTTGTTTCGATTAATTTTTTTAAACTATCATGTAAACCAAGAACATGCTTCAACTGGCAAATTTTTGTTATAAAATTAAATCTGTTTTAAATATATATGTGTGTGTGTTGGTGTGTGTTATAGATGAAATATCTTAATTTAGTGTACCTTGTGCAAAATGTCTGTTAAATGGTGACAAAAAGGTACACGTCCTTACCACTGCAGGATTAATTTAAAGTATCTGATCATCATGTAGGACTGTCCAATTACATATCTCATTTATCTCTTTTTTCATTTCTACATGATTCTTAGACAAATCAAATTTTTATTATCTTGTTGATTGGGAATAAATTATATTTCAAATACTGTTCAAGTATGCGTGTGTGTACATATAATTATTTTTTACACTATTATTTCTTTTTAAAAAGTCACACAAGAACATATTTATTTTTATGTCACATGAAATTTACGGCTTTTGGCGGTAGAATTTCAAAAGCTTTGTGACATGATGAAAGATTATATAACAATTAATTTAATTTAATATAATTGGAAATATTACGTACTTGAATAGCAAGCCATGCAAAGAGTATTACAAAGCCGTTATTTACTGAATCCGCGACTTGTTGATCTAATTTATCTCAGCCTTAGAAATCGGTGTGTTTACTTGGTAACCGATATTATGAAAGAATTGTGATTTTGACTGTGACAATTACTAGGAGTCTAAGAAAGCAGACCAGGGTTTCTTTGGGCGATGCCGCCTAACTGTTTGATTGAATTAGACCATTTTACAGCTTCGTGTTTTCTGTACGTGACCCTGCACGATTGACCCGGAATATTATGAAACATTAAATCATATTTAATTCCGTGAGACAGAAGTGAAGGCTTTTATCAACGTGTAAGATGGTAGAGAAGAGAGGGATTTGTTGTAGGCCGACTCTTTTGATGCAATTAGTTGTCAGATATACACTTGTATGTGTTACACACCACGGGACTTCTTTCTCCACACGCGATTTGACCGACGTAGGACCGTCCGTACCTGGTGCAAGCTGACCCCTGCCGTGACTTTAAATGTCCTTTTGTCCACCCCTCTTTGTCCACATTTAACTTGTCTGCGGGGTCTTATTTCATAAACCACATGTACAACATATCTCGGTAGTGATACACAACCTACAGAACTCTATATATATGTATACCTGTATACATGTGTATATCAACTGTATTTCATGTAAAATACAACAGTTCAGACAGACTTCCAAGTTGTTTACAACCGAAATTTAGTAAAATGTTTTACGCTACAAGTTAATGATAAGACGCTTTAAAATTAAAACAGTTTATGTCAGAATCTTCGCGTGTGTATGTGTGTTTGGCGTGCTAGGTCAGTGATCGCCATGTTTTCAATATTTTCCAGTAATTTACATGTACTACCGCGACCCCAACTGGTCTTACGCTATATATAGTAATGTTTTAATACAGGATAAGCTATACTTACAACAAGCCATGAAATTCCATTTTAATTTACACAATTCCATGTCAACACTTATCAAATGCTCACACAAACAGGTCAAATTCACAAAACCACATTCTGTTGTAAACGGACTTACAAATAAAATCCCTTTTTCTGGAGAATTGAACGCAGCACTGGTTTTCACCAAACCACGATCAGACACAGATTGAAACGGGTCTGGAAACGAAAGTTAATCCAATCTGCCGGGTTTAGATGTTATCCTTGCTTTTAAGCAAAAAAACTCCTACCTGCCACGACTGGGGCGAATCGGGCACATGACTGACTAGTATATGCCGATAGTGTAACAACCGATGCATCGTGGTAGTATATTATGGTCTGTGATCATTAGTGAAACCCCCTCTTCAACTCACAAGTAACTGGTGATTTTAATACCACGTGAAAATTGGCCTTGTGGTGATTTGTGAGTCGGCCCCTCCGGTTGTGACAGGCCATGAAAAATAACAAAATTATTGCTAGTAATGACTTCCGTCCGATTATAATACAGTCTCATTCCCGTAGCAGACACACTCATCTATCATCGAGCGGTTCAGTCGCGCGCAAAATAATCAACAGTTGACTAAAAATTTGAACACTGGAATTCAAGAGATATGTAAGTAAAACAATTGAAGACATCTCGATAAAATTAAAAGATAATTCCATTTTGTATGCCATAGTTACGTTTGCAGGCTGTACAAGGCCCATACGGAGTATGTCTTGGCTATTACGATTGGCTGGTAAGGTCATGTGACCCCGGTAGCAGTTGGTTAGTCTCGAGTTGGACCATAGACGTACTGTACTTTTTAATGCATTTAGCCAAATGCTATACGGATGTCGATCAACAAATGTAAACTTCTTAATCAGATGCCGGCAAAAGGAGGTCGGGTGTTTGGAGTGGGATTATTCTGTTTTTTACAGTGAGTGTGATGACGATGGACGAAGGCAGGGAATCAGGTTTTATTAACAGTCAACCTAGTATCGCAGAATTTATGACTTGTGTCGGCAGTATCAATGAAAGTGCTATGCCACCCTCATCCATCACTGTCCAAGAGTTAGGGTTACGCGGGGCTTACTGTCAGCCCTTCGCAGCAAATACCCACCCACAGGCCGGCCTCACCCCACAGGATGACCCCAGGGCCATGGGGGCCGACCCCACAGGACGGGACCCGTCCGGAGTAGGACTCGGAGACGGGTCCGCACTAAAATTTCAGGAGTATGCATGGATGAAGGAAAAGAAACCGGTTCGAAAGCAGTCCCCCGGAGACCCGAGCCCTGGAGGGCAATCTGATATAGGTACAAAATTTATTACGTATTTCTAATCTTTCTTTCTATTGCATGAAGGTCGGAGCATCCCAGGTATCAATGATCTACAGGTATACAAAGATCTCACTGTTAAATTACAGAGAAAAACCTTCGAGTAGAGCCATTCGTACCTAGCACTTCATGTAGTAAACTGCATTGCTTTTCTACACTTTTTTGTTTTATTTCTAAAATCTGCAGGTAAAATCTAAACCATAAAAACCTTCACAGGAGAACTCTTCGGGTGTTTATTTCATAGTGGGTATTTTGAGCTCAAGTTATTCGGGATTTTTTTCTCCCTACACCCCGGAGGATTGACGTTTTGTGTAACCCTAATGAACTTTGGTAAAAATACTCCGAGTCACAATTCGTGAAGATCCGCCACTGATACCTATTGTTTAGGGGCTAATCTTTTATTCTATGTACCAATCGTTGGCAAACATTTAAATCTAACATAAATCCACTCTGCCTGTTGAATGCAGTCTAGTTTTTTTTCTTCTTAACTAGGGTCATTTATGCTCACTCTTTTTGCACAAGTCATTTTGTTGAAATTATTATCCCGACCTTTTTTCTCTAATTTGTCTTTTATGAAATGGTACAGATTTCGAAAATAACTTAATCTACTTTTGCCCGTATATTTTAGTGTAATATGCCAATTAAAAATATTGAAAATTTAGAAATGTGCTAGTTAACTTTGCTGTGCACATGCACTCGTGTGCAATGGACGAAAGAAGAAATAAAACTTGAGATCGTAAATTTAGTTTCTTTCCGAAAATAAACGAAACGAGGAACTGGGATGTTGAAATAAAATTAGATAGTTTAATTACAGTGTCAATGAAGCAAAATTGATAGATGATATTTTTTATTAATATAGGTATATTTTTTTTATTATTGTGTTGCCACTATGAACCAAACTGAGAAGGTCGTTCTTTAGAATGAAGTCTATACATCTGAGTTAAAGCTGAATCGCAGAGTAACATTTTATTTTGAGAATATGACGTGAATCACAACAGATCTTAATCAGGTAGCAACGTTGATGGCGATGGTATGATATTGACAATACATTTACTGTAGCTACAGAAACACAAACGTGGATCGTTTACTTTATCACTGTTATATTTCCGGACATAAATAACATTCTCTTTGACATATATTTTATCAAATCAATATAAATACATAACAAACGTGTACCAAGTAGTTCATCAAAGTGATATTTCCCGACATAAATAACATTCGCTTTGACGTATATTTTATTAAAAATTATTCATGTTATGTAACCAAATTGTAATGTTCCAAATGCTGATATTTTTATAACTGTTGTAAATTTCAACCCTTTATACTATTTAACATAAAAAGGAACTTTTTTACACATTGAATTTAAATCTCGTCCTATTTATCATTATAAATTATATATTAAAATAAATTTTTAAAAATCAGGTAATCATTATTTTTCAACCATTCAATTACTTAGTTTCCCCTTTGGAGTAGTGGAACGAATTTGTGTTTATAATTTGAATTGTATTTAACATGTTAGATTTAAAACGATTAGTTTCCATATGTTTACAAAGAAGTCAATTCCACTGTAATTATAGTTGGAGGAAGGGGTTAACATTAAAACCAGTCTCGAATAAAGATCCGCTTTAATGTTCAACGAGTTGAGTGTGGTCTCCAGTATTTGTAAAATATTTCAACGTAGTTCATCTGAATCCATTAATCAACTGATGGTTTAGCAGCGCAAGTGACATTTCAAATGTTGAGATTTTCGCAGATAAAGACTCATAGCTAGTTCGGGTAATTCACCTATGGTGTGCCACACACTGACTGAAACATCAAAATCGAGAGAGCTCAAAACGGCCATAAACACAGAATTATTTCATGTGAGTAAATAAATTTACAACATATGTTTTAACATTTCTACAGGAACTATGAAAAGAGAAATCACTCCTTTTTCTCATTTAAAACGATTATTCGTACTAGTAAATAGTACCATTTGTCAAAATGCACGCGACAAACTGTGTACATCACCAAAATTCAGTTTTCAAAATTGAGAAAGAATGTGAGAAGCATTTGGCTTATTTGTTTCATCTAAAACTTCTCACTAAATATTCATTACGTCGATTTTATTTTTGCCATTGATTTTTACATTGAAAGAAATAATTGATTAAGAATTCAATTAAAATTTTTTGAAAAGTTTTTCAGTTAAATGTAATCCATACAACATCCATTTATTGGTCGTTATTTGATACCTGTATACTTTATGCCAAGGACTGTTTTTGAAGTATTAACTACACTACCAACATTAAATTGTCGACTGTGAAGAGTACAAGAAACAATTGTACTTTCCAAAAAAAAATCGTATATAAAATAAAATCAAAGAAAGACCAGAGTAGCACGTTTTGATAGAAACCGTACGCCGGTGTATATATATCCGGACACAAGTATAGGATGGGAGCACTAGTATATATTTTAGCGTTTAGATAATTGCATGTTATGGTGATCTTCGCATCAATTTTCGGTTATATTAGCCCCTATTACTTGGTAAACAACCATCTATTAAAGGCGTCCTGACCCCGTGCCTAACTCGACACAGGCTGTGTTGTGGGAGAAAGGGCCTGACCTCCTGTCAGCCTGCCCGCCATATGAGGGGAATGGTTCAAAGATCGTCATCTGGACATCTTGCATTTCTCACGAGAGATTCCGAGAATTGTATTATCACGTTATAAATAGATTGATTAATGAAATCCTCAGCAGTCAAAAATCAGCACTACTGATTGTTTTTTTTTTTTCGAAATCAATAATTCATGATACAAAATAACTTCAGTTAATTTATGATAAATTGACGATTAAAATCTTCCCTGATACGTAATCTGAATATAACCTATCTGTACTGTTACATTATTTCGTTAATTATTAATGATCGTATCGATTTTATAAATGGTGATTCAGAGGCTGATCCGTGAGACCTAGTCCAAAATTTCAAATGGTTTTCGAATGAGATAAATGTGTCAGAACATAGTTTTCAAGAAAAATTGTCAGTCGTATAAGTGACCTCTCTCCACACCTTTACTGTTTAAAGGTTCCATCTGTACTGAATAATTATGGTGAGTGTAATAATCGGAATAAAAACAATAATGTCAAGATTATTTGTAGAGCAGAAATATATTAATAACTGTAAAATGTCTCAATTTCCTGTGAACCCAAACTACCTATCTAATCGTTTTACATATGTAAGGGAATGCCCGATATATGCTTACTACCTTGCGTGTACGCTGCATCTGTTGGGACCAAAGAACAGTTATTTTTATCATAACTGAAAGTATTTAAAGCGTCATTTGAGACATGGAAGATCTTAGGAACACACATATAAATATATATATATATATATACAGTTAAGTGATACCTGAATAAAGAGGCATTTACCTGACGATTTCATTACTAAGGTAACATATAACTATTTATACATAGGTATTTGCCAAGGAGAGTTCGTCTCCATTAGGTGGTAAATAATATAGAACAAAGGATCAGATGGTAAGGGAATAAGACGTCCTGAAGCCATTGTCACATTTGGACTGTATAGGGTTGGGGAGGTGTGAAAAACCTCTGTGGTCGGTTATAGAGTTTAAATGATATAAATTCACTTTATTTGGGAAAAAAGACAATAACTGTCTCGCTTTGTCTTGAAAAAGTATATTCAAAAGAGAAGACATAAATCTTTTCATTTGGTTTGCACTTACTCTCTCATTTATTGATATGGGTTTACGGATTTTTTGTAAATTTTTCCTCAGAGTTGAGTTGAGAGAGGGATGCACGTGTGTAGACCTCGATGTCACGTGTGCTTGTATTGATGTGTATGAATTAATGATATGCAAACGTTTATAGGATTTCATATGTTTTTATAAATTCAGAAATGATAAAGGTAAACGTGGGAAATATCAATCGGTTGGCATACACATGTGAGAATAAAACGTCACATTATAAGCTGAGGGTTAGACAGCGTCACACCACGGGGACATGCAAACTAACACACAGTTATAAATGATATTTCCAATTACATGAAAATGCTATTCCTAAAGCAGATTTATATTATTATAAGGGATGCTACACTTTCACTTGTCGAATAGATCAGCGTACATATTTTATACGTGTTGTAATGAATGTGGCTAGTATTGTTTTCTTTAGGTATAAGTGAAGGATGGATTGGGCCGTAAACAATTACTCATATTAACACATGTTGGGGAGGGATGAGAGGGGAGGTTCAGCAGCTTTAACACGATACAATTGTATGATAGTCCATTTATCATATCTAATTGGCATGTAGCTGTATATTAATGTCATGTTTTTTACCATCGGAGTGTACGGATTTGACAAGGTGAATAATATATAGCATTGCCGGGATGGAATATAGACAAACCTTATTACAGAATAGCTGTGTAAATTTACTATGACTAGACATTGTAAAATATTAATATGATATGTATTTTCGCTCATAGTTAATCATGATAAAAACAAACCTAATGAAATCTTTCGACATTATTTATTTCCAATTAAAAGAGCAATTAATATGCTCTTATTAAAGTTTCAAAATGCATTAAAATATCTATTCCGCATAAAAGGTGTGTAGTGTGTGTTTAAGTGCCTGGTATAATGATTAAAAATATTAGGTGTCGACAGCTGTTCTATTGAATATACAAGTAATGATAACAGTTACTACAGATGATATTTATATTTATTGATACAGAGAGAAGTGAGGTTGATGTACAGAAATAATATATGTAAGGCATATCTTCTTATTTCTGTGATGTATTTAATTGTTTTCCAATAATTATAGGGATAAATGCTGACCAGATTTGTGTGATTTTAATACTCGGACAATTATGTGTTCGTATGGATATTTTTGGTTTAATACATATTGTATAATTAAGCATTATATTGCAGGAAACAAACAAACAACTGAACAAATAAATAAATAAATAAATAAACAAGCAGCGAAACTA